TGAATACTTCAGCTTCAACCATAACAACACAAGAGCACACAATAGATACAAACTCAAAGTAAACCGCACCAAACTTGATTGCAGGAAATACGACTTCAGCAATAGAGTGGTCAATGTCTGGAATACTCTACCCGACTCTGTAGTTTCTTCCCCAAACCCCAAAAACTTTAACCTTAGACTGTCTACTATTGACCTCACCCCTTTCCTAAGAGGCCTGTAGGGGGCGTGCATAAGCGCACCAACGTGCCTACCGTCCCTGTCCTATTGTTTCTCTTATTCTTTTATTTTTCTTATATGTACCCATTTCATGTATTCACAACTATGTATACATTTATACTTATTATCTTGTAAACAATTGGCAAATCAAATAAATAAATAAATAAATAAATAAATTTTGTTGCAAACAGAAATAACCACATTAATCACATCCCTTACATTCATCACATTTGTATATATAATTCTAATATTGATACACATATTTATAATAGTTTACGATCCTTCGTTGTTTATTTATTTAGCATTCTGCCAATCACCATATTGTTTAAACATACATAATAATGTCATTATTCAAATTCTTCTTTTGTTTTTATTTATATTTAAAACAGGTCTCTTTTGGTGAGCAGTATAGTTCCAGGTTTTTACATTTGAATACAAACATTGCCTGCCACCTGTGCACCCACGGGCATCCTCCCTGCATCTCACCATGTATTCTCATGCGATGATATCATTCCCCCGAGCTTTGCTGCACCTCTTTTGCACTCCTGCACATTCCATCCCATCCTCCCTGAGCTTTGTCACCTCTCCTGCCATTCGTGACCCATTCGGAGCCTCACCATGCTTCCCTTGTGATCTTGTTCACCCCAAGTCTCAATGTGGCCCCCCCATTGCATATCCCCGTACACTGTCCCTAAGCCTCTCTGCTTTCTCCACTATTCATGCAAGCCCTGCCAAGCCTTGCCACACCTCCCTTGTCACTTGTTGACAAGGCATGCCTGCCAGTGGTGGGATTCAATTTTTTTTACTACTGGTTCTGTGGGCGTGGCTTGCTTGGTGGGCGTGGCTTGGTGGTCATGTGACTGGGTGGGTGTGCTTGGTGGTCATATGACTGGGTGGGCATGGCCAACTCAATGTCACTCACGTCAAGGGGTGCCTTGCCTGGCCCCTCTCCTCCCAGCCATTCCTTGTCACACCCAGCCTCAGCTTATCTATAGTTCTGTAAAAATGTTGTTCACCTTTTTTTACTTTATTATCTACATACTATAGAAGTACTTTCATGGACCACTGAAAGGAGGAAATGGCTCACATGCTTTGACCAAGAGTGTGATAGGCAACAGGCTTTTAAGGGACTCGGTTAGCGGCGTGCTGACTGAGTTGGGGGCGTGGTCAACCAGAAGTCACTACCAGTTCAGCGACCCATGCCAAATTGTTGCTACAGGTTTGCCCAAACAGGTGCGAACCAGCTGAATACCACCACTGATGCCTGCCGTAGCACCTGCTGGCCACATGGAGCCATCTTCTACAGGTCTTATGAGGAAACTGTAATGCACAACCCGGGAAAGAAAGCCTTGCATGTCCAGTAGCTGTCTCACAAATGGTTAGCTCAGGCATGCTTGGTCAGCAGGAGAAGCAAGAAGGTCAGCTAGGATGGCAGGGTCAGTGGAGTGCAAGGGTCAAAACGGGAGAGATAGCAGTGGGGGAAGTTGAGGTGTCTCTGTTCTTGTAAGTGCAGGTGGGCAGAATTTCAATCACATGATTGCTGGGTTACTGCAACAGCCATAATTTTGAGGATCAGCCATAAGTTCTTTTGTTCAATGCTTCTCTAACTTCAAACATACATTGAATGACAGCTTACATTGAGTAATTAGATGTTGCAATTAAAATTAGAAAGGAAGTAGGTTTTTATTAAAATCATTCCACTCACCCAAAGAACATGTGCCTATACTTTCTGGTGCAGCACAGATAATGGGTTTCTCACATGTTCCACTTAAAGGGTGGCAAAACTTCTCCCAATGGCAACGTGGGCAATTAAAATCACAATCTTCTCCGTAATATCCATGATCACATACTTCAAAAAAATAACAATAATAATAAATGATTATATAGTACCTTAGAATACCTTACATATATTATTTTAAATCTTATAACAATTGTATACAAATGATGATCATGATTATGTATGTACATATGAATGTGTTTTTGTAGGCTGGGGGAACTTGCCTAAATCCAGTTATTGAGTTTGCAGAAGAGAAATGGCAATTCTCAATGTAAAGTGCAATATAATTGTGTTGTTTTTTTTTTAGTTATGTAAATGTTCTGACCCAACCTGGTTCCAAGAGAGCAAACATAAGACAAAGACAGCAGCCCCCACCTTTTAAGGTTTCATTCACTAATTCTGTTTCTTGCCAGATAAAAGGCTGTTTCCAACTAATTAGCTCCGACAAGAAAGACCCTTGCCAAGCTGTTCTTCAAGGCTGCCAAAAACCCACAGATAAGAAATAGTTTACAAGAGTTTTCAAATACTAACTATAATGTCCATGAGGCTGAGTTTCAGAGAGTCTTTGCCTTCTGCAAAGAACACTTCTTCAAACCTGGCTTTTATCCTCTTGAGGAAGGGGCCATTACCTTGTAGCCTTACTCCTGAGTTGCCCATGCTGCTGTAATTGTTCTCTCCTATGAGCAATCCTGCGTGCACGTGCACTTGGCACAGGCTCCTCGGGAACCTCCTCATCACTGCTGCCAGCCCCCACAATCTCTGAAGGCAGCAGTCCACTACCTAATGGTCCTGGCCCCTCATCTGAGTCTTCCTGCTGCTGGCTAACCACAATACTATCCCTCACTGCAGGGCCCTTCCTCTGGGTCTGATGGTCCAGATGCGGCCAAGACAGGAATTGTGTGTGAAATGCATCCACCAAATCTGGAACATGGACAGAAATCGCATCCTCCCAAGTAAATGCCTCCAGTCTGTACCCCTTCCATTCTATCAGGTACTGAAATCGCCCTTTCAACCACTGAGAGTCTCGAATACTGGTGACCTCATACTCTAACAAACTGTCTCCATCATGTGGTGCTGGTGGGGAAGGGTTAGGTTGGTGGAGTGGACAGGCCGGCCGTTCGGAACCAGAAGGGAGTGATGGAAAACCGGACAGACCCGTAGCGAGCAAGGCAACTTCATATGATAGGTGATTGGGTTGATCACGGCCTCTACAGGGAACAGGCTAAGGTACCAATGGTCAAGCATCCTCATTGGCCAGTCTAACAGAAGATGCCGATAGACAACCACACCCAATCCCCCAGAGCCAATGGCGGCGTTGCTCTCCGACAGCGGTCCATGACTTGCTTATACGCTTGCTTAGCCTTCTCCAAATACTGTCACACCAATTGGTGAACGGTCTGTAACTCCGACAAGAAATCTTTCGCCTCCGGAACCGGCAAGTCGAGTGGCGTCAAGGGGAAGAACCGAGGGTGGTAATCCACATTGGTGAGGAACGGGATGGTTTGTGTGGAGGTATGCTGAGAGTTATTGAACGCAAACTCTGTGACCACTAAGTAGTCCGCCCAATTATCCTGTTGCTGATTGACAAAGCAACGCAGGTACTGCTCCAGGATTCTGAGCACTTTCTCCATCCACCGTCAGTTTCCGGATGGTGAGAAAACAACAAACAGATTTTAACATCAAAGCCATCATCAGCCCTTTCCAGAATTGGGTGGTAAATTGTGTCCTTCGGTCCTACACCACCCAATCTGGGAATCCATGTAGCCGGAAGATGTGCTGGATAAACATGCGGGCCATGGCGTGAGCCGTGGGGTAAGCCCCGACACGGAACAAAGTGTGCCATTTTGGTCAGCATGTCAATCACCACAAACTACGTGATGAATCCCGATGAGGGGGGCAGATCTGTCAAGAAATCAATCGACAGGACACCCCAAGGTTTCTCCGGTGTGGGCAAAGGCTGGAGCAGTCCCGGGAAGCCCCTGTTGCTGACTTATCCTGCTGGCATCACACGCAAAACATCACATAGGACTGCATGTCGTGTCGTAGTCAGGGCCACCAGAAAATCCAAGACACAAGGTGCAACATCTTGAACAGGCCAACATGCCCTGCCACAGTGTTGTCGTGGCACTGCGACAAGATAGATCCCCAGAGCGGCCCTGCCAAGACATAGAGTTTGTCATGGTAGCACAAGAGTTCCTCCTCGAACGACCATGGTGAGTTGGGTCCCACTTCTTGCCTCCGCTGATCTGCCCAAGCATCGTGCTGCTGCGCCTCCCAAATCTGCACCTGTAAATCCATTAGCTCCTGTACAGTGGAGAACGATTCTACAGGCAGCACCATCCAGAGTGGGAGTTGATCCTCTGGATGCAGGTATTCGGGCTTCCTGGAGAGTGCGGCCACCCATTGGTTACGACCACTTGGAACATAGGTAACATAAAAGTTAAAACGGGCAAAAAAAAGAGACCACTGGATCTGGCACTGATTTAATTTCTGGGCAGTCTTTAAATGCTCCCAATTCTTATGGTCTGTCCAGACTACTACTTGATGGCGCACCCCCTCCAAATGGTGCCTCCAGACCTCAAACGCCGTCTTTATGGCCAATAACTCCTTCTTCCAGATGATATAGTTACGCTCAGCAGGATTGAGATTCCTGGAAAAATAAGCACAAGGGAAAAGGGTACCACCAGAGGCATGAGCCTGGAGGAGCCTCGCACCAAACGCCACATTCGATGCATCCGCTTCCACTACAAACGGTGCGGATCGGCGTGCTTCAAGATCAGTTCTTGAAGGCCTGCTTCAAAGCCTGGGACATCTGCTGCTCAGGAACATCCTACCAGAACAGAACCTTCTTCTGGAGGATCCGAGTGAGAGGCGCAGTCAGGGAAACAAAGCCAGGGATGAAGGTCTGATAATAGTTGGCAAACCCGAGGAGTCTCTGGACATCCTTTACTTGCCAGGGAGGTTGCCAACTAAGCAATGGCTCGACCTTACTCGGCTCCATGGACATGCCTTCCAGAGAGATGCAGTGTCCCAGGAACTTGATGGTGGACTGGAAGAACTGGCACTTCTCCAACTTGGTGTACAAGCAGTTCTCCCGGAGCCGTTGTAGAACCAGACACAAGTGGTGCAGGAGGCTATCCCTCGATTTAGAATAAATCAAAATGTCATCAATGTAAACCACCACAAACTGATCAAGGAGGTCCCGGAAGATGTCATTCATAAAATGCTGGAAGACGGCGGGAGCATTGGTCAATCCAAATGGCATGACCGTATATTCAAAATGCCCGTATCTGGTCCCAAACACCATTTTCCACTCATCTCCAGGTCAAATCCGCACCAAATTGTACGACCCGCGCAGGTCCAACTTCGTAAATACAGTAGCCTTCCGGAGCCGCTCCATCACAAACAAGTGGGGTCTGGCGGCGCCTTGGCCCATGGGTTCCTCCCATGGGAACAGGGTCTCAGGCACAATAGGGGCCACAGGAGGCTCTCGGGAAGCACAGCAAGGGTTCTGCCTCTGCAGGCGGGCGTCAATCCTCAGGCACAGGTGAATCAATGTGTTGGGAGTCACAGGACAATCCACCCTCACCAGCTCATCCTGCAACTCTTCCTCTAGCCCATCTTGGAACGTGTCCATAAGTGTTGCCTCATTACAGGCCGAATCCTGGCTAAGCAGACAGAACTCGCTGACGTACTCCTGCAAGGATTGCTGTCCCTGCTGCAAGTCTTTAAAATGACGAGCAGCAGTCTGGGTCTTAATGGGGTCTTCATACATCAACCGCAGATGGTCACAAAACCCCCAGAAGTCATTCAGCAGAGCACTATCCTGCACCAACAAGGGTATGGCCCAGCGTGCTGCAGAACCAAAAAGCAGGCTAATTACAAAACCCACCTTATCCTGGTCAGTGGGGAAGTCCTCTGCTTTCAAGCTAATGAAGAGCTGGCACTGTCCCAAAAATGCTGGAAACATAGCCTGGTTGCCGTCGAACTTATCCAGCAAAGCAACCGGGCATCTTCTTCGAGGAGGAGGAGGAGGTGGAGCAGCAAGAGCTTGGAGCTGACCTACCTGATTAGCTAACAAGACCAGCTGTTGTTGCAACAGAGCATTCTCTGCTCGAAGCTGATCCATCTCGCATTAAAAAAAATAGGTTTCATTTGTGGCAGAAGGCAAACTGTTCTGACCCAACCTGGTTCCAAGAGAGGAAGCATAAGACAAAGACAGCAGCCCCCACCTTTTAAGGTTTCATTCACTAATTCTGTTTCTTGCCAGATAAAAGTCTGTTTCCAACTAATTAGCTCCGACAAGAAAGACCCTTGCCAAGTTGTTCTTCAAGGCTGCCAAAAACCCACAGATAAGAAATAGTTTACAAGAGTTTTCAAATACTAACTATAATGTCCATGAGGCTGAGTTTCAGAGCATCTTTGCCTTCTGCAAAGAACGCTTCTTCAAACCTGGCTTTTATCCTCTTGAGGGAGGGGCCATTACCTTGTAGCCTTACTCCCGAGTCGCCTGTGCTGCTGTAACTGTTCTTTCCTATGAGCAATCCTGCATGCACATGCACTTGGCACAGGCTCCTTAGGAACCTCCTCATCACTGCTGCCAGCCCCCACAATCTCTGAAGGCAGCAGTCCACTCCCTAATGGTCCTGTCCCCTCATCTGAGTCCTCACTCTCCTCCACCGTCTGCACCTGCTGCCGGCTAACCACAACAGTAAAACACAACATAATTAAAAGTGTTAAGTTCCCGACAAGAAAATATTTTTGTTTAATTTTCTCAAAAGCCCCAATCTTTTTATAGCTTTAGCTAATGGAAACATTTTCATTATACACAATAATACAGCTTCCCATATTTAATTTAATAAAAATTAAGTTTTTTAAGAACAATTCATTAGAAAGTGGGATTGCAAAGAAACAGTATATATGAAGAACACGTATCATTTAAAACACCTTTACAGTTTAAAATCCTTATAGACATAAAACTAAGAATGCAGAGCTCATTTGAAATACTATTTTTTTAAATACCCTAATGACTTGCAATTTAATAGTGATGAACTTTGATGAATTTTAATATTCATTCAATAATTTTGAATATTTGAAGGAACATATTTAAAATAGTTACCTGATTTTAAAAACAGTACACTTGGTCCAAACCCTCCACTAACCAAGGTATAGCCATTTAATAGGAAATATCCGTTTTTCCATAAACCAAAGCCGAGACAATCAGTGTGTTTAATACATTCATCCTTCGAATCATTGTAAGAAGAATTGGCTGATAAACTTAATGTTGTTGAGATTACCACGGAATCCCAAAAGCCAGAAAATACATCAAGGTCTGCTTGGAAAGAAACAAATGCCATAAGTCTATTTGTCAAATCTATCATTATATAAAAATATATAATACAACCAGACCCTTAAGGGAGAAGGACTAGTTGATAGAGCATAATGCAAAATTGGACCAAATCTGGAATTTAATTTATCACATCAATTTATAATGACCACATATTTAAGCCAATAAAGTCACTTCTCATGGTTAGTGAACAGACAAATGTTGCTTTTTATAGACAGTTTGTGCAAACTTCTAGCATGAACCAGGTAAATGAGCTACTGTTTCTTCTACCTCTTTGCACAATCTGAACTTCATTTGACAATTTTTCAATTGTGTCCTTATTGCATTCATACAAATCCATTACCCTTGAAAAATCAAAATTAAACCTTCAGTTTCTTTTTTTCAATGCTCCAGTTATAAATCATTGCCAGGTTTATCTTTATGCCTTTCACCTCATTCTTTTGTAAAAATTGACTATGCAATGGTTTTACTTGCCAGCATTCTGTTTGTGTTTTTATTTAAAGTTCATGTTTTGTGTCCTGTATGTTCATTAAGTTCCCATTTTTAAATTGCATCAGTGCTTGTTCTTCACTGCCTTCACTGACATTAGTCAACCAATGCATATTTTTCTTCTATGACAGTTCGTTCGACTTGAAGTAAACATCTGCCTCCATTTCTGCTGGACAGGTATAATCTATCAATATCACTATGATGATATAATGCATAGTGAATAGTCATGAGTTTTCTTGTTTTTCAGTCCAAACAATTCAGTTTAGTTAATAATTCCAGCAATGTACCATATTACAGGTATGGCCGAGGTATTGATGACTTTGATGGTGTTTCCACCATTCAGTTTTGTCTTTAACAATCTTCTCACTTTTTGAATGCATTCTTTACTGATTGTTTTAACTTGTCCATGCTTGATTTCATCCCACCATAAAATACCCAGATGACATGAAGCATGAATAAGTTAAAATGTGTTCTGTAAAAAATACATTCCAAAACACATTTTCTTTCTTTCTTTCTTTCTTTCTTTCTTTCTTTCTTTCTTTCTTT